TATTCTCTTTGTCTTGCTTTGTCTAACTCTATTGTTTATTTCATTATAATAATATCTTAATATTATTTGATTATACATTATCTTAATATTTTTTGATTATACAGATTCATTGAGAGGGCTTTAAACTAGGTGTGATGGGGGACGGGGAATGGAATAGTGAGCTGCCCCATGATAAGGTGTGGTAAGGCATAACTATATTAGAGGGACAAGGTGCTGGCAGGGGCCTTGAAGGACCTGCTGCCTTGAGAGGTGCTGGCAACACTGCAGCACATACAAAACTATGATAGTGAGGCAGTCACTGCTAGGGCAACAGGAGAAGGCAATGGGGAAATTCAAGGGAAGTACCTGCAAGGATCTAAGGAGTTATTCTTTAAGGGAGTGACAAGACCAGCTGCTTAGCTGAAGTGCCTCTACACCACTGCACGTGGCTTGGGAAACATCCAGGAGGAGCTGGACGCTACTGTGTTGCTTGAAAATCACAATATAGTCATTGTCACCAAAACCTGGTGGCATGATTCCCATGACTGGCGTGTGGCTATCGACAACTACAAGCTGTTCAGAAGGGACAGGTGAGGAAAAAGGAGCGGAGGAGTTGTTATCTACACCAGGAAAGGAATAGGATGTGAAGAGCTGTCCCGAAGAACAGTCATGAGCAAGTTGAAAGCCTATGGGTGACAGTTAGAGACCAAGGTAGCAAAGGAAGACTTGTGATTGGTGTCTACTATAGGCCACCAGATCAGTCAGAGCCTGTCGATGAGGCTTTCTACCTTCAGCTACAGGAGGCATTGTGATTGCAGGTGCTCATCCTGCTGGGGGACTTTAAGCACCTGGACATTTGCTGGAAAAGTAGCACAGCGTGCTGTAGGCAATCCAGGAGGCTCCTGGAATGCATTGAGGATAACTTCCTGAGTAATTGATAGCCCCGCTGGGGGGATGCAATACTGGACCTGTTGCTCACTGATGTAAAGGAACTGATTGATGACATCAGGGTTGGAGGCTGCCTGGGCTGTAGTGACCATGCTATGGTTGAGCTCACCTGTCTCATGTCCCTCCGAAGTGAGAAGCGTAAAACTAGGATGCTGAAATTCAGGAAAGCTAACTTACAGCTCTTTGAGGAGTTAGTCAACAAAACACCCTGGGAAACTGTCCTCATGGGCAAGGGTATGGAGCAGAGCTGGCAGATCTTTAAGGAGGCTTGCTTCAGTGAGCAGGAGCTCTCCATCTCCCAGTGTAGCATTTCAGGAAAGGAAGTCGTGGCTGAACCAGGACCTGCTAGTCAAACTGATGAGTAAGAAGAAAATGCACAGGCAGTGGAAACAAGGACAGGTACCATAGGAAGAGTATAAGGAAGCTGCTAGGCTGTGTAGGGATGGGGTCAGGAAAGCCAAGGCCCAGCCTGAACTGAATTTAGCTAGGGATGCCAAAAAGAGCAAGAAAGGCTTCTACAAGTAACTCAACCAGAAAAGAAAAGTTCAGGAGGGTGTACCCCCCCCAGTGAGTGACACAGGCAGGCTGTTAACAACAAAGAGAAGGCTGAGGTACTGTAAAAAACAAAAGTGATGACAGAGCCTTTGAGATACGGGTGCTATAGAACAAGATATCAAAGGAAGAGGATTTAACTCATCCCTCCCAGCAACAGTTTGGAAAAAGGGTGAGCTCAGGAATGCAGCCTTCTCTGGTTCGAACTCTGGTGTGATAGAAGGGGGGAGGAACACAAACCACACCAGCTCTGAGTGCATATGTGCTCCGAAAGGGAGAGAGAGAGGTGAATCTAGGCTCCAGTCACTCATGTGCTCACCTACTGGTTCAGGTTGTGACCTGGCAATTTAACTACAGGAGTTTAACAACTTTTTTGCTTCTGTCTTCCCTGATAACTGCTCTCCACACAGCCCTCAAACACTTGGTTTGGTAAGAGAGGATTGGGGAAACAATGTTCCTCCCACTATAAGTGACGATCAGGTTCATGACCACCTGAGGAACCTGAACATCTGCAAGTCTATGGGTCCCAATGAGATGCATCCCAGAGTCCTAGGGGAATTGGCTCTGATATTTCAGAAGTCGTGGCCATCAGATGAAGTCCCTGGTGACTGGAAAAAAGGCAACATCATACCCATTTTTAAAAAGGGTAAAAAAGATAACCCTGGTAACTACTGACCTGTAAGTCTCACTTCTGTGCTAGGAAAGATCCAGGAGCAGATCCTCTTGGAAGCTATGCTAGGGCACGTGGAAGATGAAGCTGATACGGGAGAACCAATATGGCTTCACCAAGGGCAAATCCTGTTTGATCAACCTGGTGGCCTTTTATGATGGTGTCACTGCATCAAGGGACAAGGGAGAGCCACTGATGTCATCTATCTTGAGTAAGGCCTTTGACATGGTTCCCCATAACATCCTTCTCTCTGAATTGGAAAGGTGGGGATTTGATGGGTGGTTTCTTCAGTGGATGAAGAACTGGCCGCAGGATCAAGTCCAGAGAGTGGTGGTCAATGGCTCAACATCTGGATGGAGATCAGTGGTGTCCCACAGGCATAAGTAATGGGGCCGATACTCTTTAATATCTTCATCAGTGACACTGACAGTGGGGTCAAGTGTACCTTCAGCAAGTTTGCTGATGACACCTAGCTGTGGGATGCGGTCAGCACACCAGAGGGAAAGGATGCCATTCAGAGGGGCATAGACAGGCTTGAGCAGTGGGCCCAGGTGAACCTCATGAGGTTCAACAAATCTAAGTGCAAGGTTTTGCCCCTGGGTCAAGGCAACCCCCGTTACCAATAAGACTGGGGGAACACTTTCCCTCCTGATGATAATCTGAAGGGTGGGGGAAAGAAATTTTTCTACAGTGTACTACGGTGCCTTAGAGCAGTGCGGAAGAGAAACAATATTACAGGGTGATGCTGATATGATGCAAGCCTTTTCTATGATGTATCGTCCAAATCAGCCCCCCAGTGGGAATCCCTGCCTTATGAGGCAATGAAGGAGCTAAGGAAGTCAGTGAGATATTATGGAATCCAGTCTGCTTTTACATATGATCTTTTGGTTGTAATTGGTGACGGTTATGACCCCTCATGATTGGAGAATTCTGTTACAAAGGATCCTGTCTCCCATGCAATATACCGTGTTTATGACTGAATACCAAGAACAGGCTACCATCCAGGTTATGAGTAATTTTAATAACTTAAATCATATTGTCATGGAGGAAATTATGGGGGAGGGGGTCTGGGCAACACCTCAGGCACAGATGAATAGGCAATGCCTTGAACAAGTTAACAATATGGTGTTGCATGCTATCTGTCAGATACCTGATACTAATTCATCTAATGTTTCATTTACATCAATTAAGCAGGGGGCTGCCAAGCCCTACATTAAATTTCTTGACTGTTTACAAAATATGCTAGAGAGACAAGTAGAAAATCAAGCTACCTGGGATGCTTTGCTTAAGCAATTAGCAATAGAAAATGCAAATGCATGCTGTTAAAAGGCTTTACAGTCCTTAAAGAATGCAGATCCATCAGTTACTGACATGATTAAAGCTTGTCAAGATGTGGACACGGAAAGTCATAAAATAGCCTTGCTAGCAGACATGCTGGTAGCCCGACTCGATGCAAGGACAGCTCAAAGAATGAAATGTTACAATTGTGGAGAACCCAGTCACGTACAAAGGGACTGCAAGACTGCAATAGTTATTAGGAACCATCAATTGGCTGCGACCACTTTTGGGTATTGCTACTTGAGAGCTGCACCCTCTATTCCAGCTACTCAAAGGAGACCCAGATCTAACCTCTAAAAAACACCAGAAGCGTTACAATGCTTAGACTCTGTAATAACATCATTGCACTATCAATTTAGCTATCGTGTTTGTTTATCACTTCCAGTATCTCTTATAATAATATCAAACTCGTATCAGCCATATAGCTTGTTATGTCTATGGGATACCTCCAGAAAAGATCCTCTAATTATCCTGGAATGGATATTCTTACTGCATGCATTTTCAAAAATGATTCAATCACGAGTGGAGATGTTTGCAATGCAAATACAGCGAGGTTGACATCGTCTACAAATTCTATGAGCTCTTGATCCTGATTGCATCTACATACCTGCTATTAAAAAAGATTTAGATTGGATGCTTGCACAGTCGCTTGCTTTACAAACTTCTATGGCAGACTATACTGGACAAATCTCCACCCATCCCCTCAAACATCAGTTACTACATAATTTGAGTTATCTGTCCCTTACTGCTAATATTTTACTTTCACATGTTCCAATTCCTAATGCTGTTACTGTATTTACAGATGGCTTTGGCAAGACACACCAAGCAGTGTTTCTCTAGCGTGCGACTATTACACGATGGCAGTCAGACGTAAACGTTGTCGATGGATCTCCTCAAATTGTAGAACTTGCTGCGATAGCTCGAGCTTTTCAAATTTTTTCAGAACAAAAGCTTAATACAATAACTGACTCTTTATATGTTACAGGTATCATTCAGCGGATTGAAGGATCTTTTCTTAAGGAAGTTAACAACCCTGTTTTGTTTGCACAGCTCAAGCAAGTTTTACATTATGTTTCTCACCGTACTCTTCTTTATTTCATTATGCATATTCGATCACACTGCATTGCCTGGTCCTTTAACTGAGGGCAACCGTAAAGCAGATCAAGCCAGTTGCCTTTGCTACCTCTCAATTATTTCAGCAACCGTGACTCTCCCATCAATTTTTTCATCAGAATAGGAGAGCCTTACAAAAGGATGGACCTTCAGCTCAAAAACATGCCATAAATAAGACTATTTTAAAAATAAAAAGTGTTGGTGAATGCTCTTCAGCAACCCTGTAGGTAATGCAGTCTCTTTTGCTCAGAAAAGAATAATGATATATATCTTCCTTTGATAGTATTTATTTTAAAATATTCTAAAACATTAATCAAAATTGAGAAGCACAAGATTATATATTTCAAGTGCTGAGAAGTGAAGCATGGGTAATTGCAAAATCATACATTGCCATAACAAACAAAAAATGATTATATTTATGAAAAATAACTTACTCTCTACATTTTTTCTTCTTAGTTTCACTGGATGAGCCATCTGTAGAATCTTCACTGCTCAATAAATCCTGCAGATGAAGAAAATAGTATATACAATTCATTAACACAAAAATAATATAGTATTTTTAGTATTAAAAAGATATTTTATCTCCCACTTCCAAACTGAAGTCATATTCTTCATGTCTTAACCTCTTCACCCTCCTCAGTATACTCACTGATATTGAATAAGATCACGATTACTATTGATTCTGTATTTCTCCATCTACAAATATACAACATCAGTAGAACACTGTAATAGCACAAAAAAAAAGAAGTCTTAATCATTGTGTCTATATATAGTCATGGCTTAAACTGCTGGAAGTTAATAAATCAAGACAAAGTTCCTATCAAAAAGCCTCAATAAAATACCCTGCCCTTTGAGAGTTCGAATCATAGAATCACAAGGTTGGAAAGGACCTACAAGAATATCTAGTCCAACTGTCCTCCCATCACCGTTACTACCACAAGCTACTAAACCATATCTCGTAGCTCCTCATCCAGACATCTCTTCAACACTGCCAGGGACGGCGACAGGGGGGTGATTACCTCCCTGCTCCTGCTGGCCACACTATTTCTAATGCAGGCCAGGATGGCACTGGCCCTCTTGGCCACCTGGGCACACTGTCAGCTCATGTTTAGCTGAGCATCAACCAACACCCCCAGGTTACTTTCCTCCTCACAGTCATCCAGCCACTCATTCCCAAGCCTATATCGTTGCATGGAGTTATTGTGGCCAAAGTGCAGGACCTGACACTTGTTCTCTCAGCTTTCACATTCTCTCACTTTTAAACAAGACTAATCATAGAATCATCAAATCACTCAGGCTGGAAAAGACCTTAAAGATCATCGAGTCCAACCGTGACCTAACCATACTACCCTAACTAACAACCCTCCGCTAAATCATGTTCCTGAGTACCACATCCAAACGGATTTTAAAAACATCCAGGGATGGTGACTCAACCACCTCCCTGGGGAGCCTATTCCAGTGCTTAACCACCCTTTCTGTAAATAAGTGTTTCCTAATATCCAACCTAAACTTACCCTGGCGCAACTTGAGGCCATTTCCCCTTGTCCTGTCACCTGTCACCAGTGAGAAGAGAGCAACCCCGCTCTTTCAGATATTGGAAGAGAGCAATAAGGTCTCCCCTCAGCATCCTTTTCCCCAGACTAAACAGCCCCATTTCTTTCAGTCTCTCCTCATAGGGCATATTCTCCAAGCCCTTCACAAGCCTTGTTGCCCTTCTTTGGACCTGCTCCAGCACCTCCATGTCCTTTCTGTACTGAGGTGCCCAAAACTGAACACAGTACTTGAGGTGGGGCCTCACCAATGCCAAGTACAGGGGCAGGATGACTTCCCTAGTTGTCATGGTTTTGTGTTTTTTGGTTTTCAGTATTCCACATCAAAACATCATGTAGTGCACTGGGAGTTGAAGTGTTAATGCTCGAATTCTGGGTACCTGTCCCTGCACATCGCGGAAGTCATGGGATCTGGCCCTTCCTGGTTGGGTGGTCTCTTACTGCCTGGCAGTGGGTGCTGGAGGGTGCTTTCCTAGCCGTTCCAAGCTTTTCAGGTTTGACTCGGTCTCAGGAACTCTCTCCTATCTTATTTGATTTATTAGTCTCAATTTCAATTAGATTGTATTATATTGTGTTATCTTGCATTCTGATATCATACTTAGCAAAATAAGTTTTCCTCCATAGATCGTTGCCGCTTTTTTTTTTTTCCTTCCTTGAGCCCAGCTCCCATCTCCCTATCCCTTTTCCCTTTTTCTTCCCATTATTGTGGGGCTGGAGGGGCCCATGGGCCTACTGTCCCCCTGTCATGGGCATAGATTGATCTAGTTAACTTCGTGACACCACTCCATTCCTGATACAAGCCAGGATGCCATTGGCCTTCTTGGCCACCTTCGCACACTGCTGGCTCATATTCAGCCAACTGTCCATCAGTACACCAAGGTCCCTTTCCATCAGGCAGTTTTCCAGCCACTCCTTCCCAAGCCTGTAGGGTTGCCTGGGGTTATTGTGAGCAAAATGCAGGACCCGACACTTGGCCCTATTGAAACTCGTACAATTAACTTTGGCCATCGATCCAGTCTATCCAGGTCCCTCTGTAGTGCCCTTCTCCCCTCAGGCAGATCAACACTCCCTCCCAACTTGGTGTCATCTGCAAACTTACTGAGGGTGCACTCAATCCCCTCATCAAGACTGTTAATAAAGATGTTAAATAGAAGCAGCTCCAGTACCGAGCCCTGGGGGACACTGCTTGTGACCAGCTGTCAACTGGATTTAACTCCACTGACCACTACTCTTTGGGCCCGGCCATCCAGCCACGTTTCACCCAGTAGAGCATACTCCCATCCAAACTGTGGGCAGCCAGCTTCTCCACGAGAATGTTGTGGGGGACAGTGTCAAAGGCCTTACTGAAGTCCAGGTAGACCACATCGACAGCCTTACCCTCATCCACTAAGCAGTTCACCTTGTCATAGAATGAAATGAGGTTTGTCAGACAGGATCTACCATTCTTACCTCATGCTGACTGGGCCTGATCCCCTGGTTGACCTTTAAGAAAATTTTGAGAATAGTAGGCATGTTTCTCTTTCCCTTCCTAAACAAACAAAACCCCCTTAAAATTATCTTTAAAATTATCTGAAAAAATCCTAAAACCAATATCATAGGGCTTAAGTTTAGACCATTTTTATAATGAAAAAGAGTTTTCAGAAAAAGAGTACTTAGCAAGAGCTATAAATTGATGTTTTAACTATGATTTAAAAAAAAATTCATAAGACTTGTGACCACAATGGGATAAACCGATCAATCCCACTGACCGCAGTGGGATCAAGTGCAACCTCAGCAAGTTTGTGGATGACACCAGGCTGAGTATTGCAGTCGACAGAAAGAAGAGATGCCATTCCAAGGCACCTTGACAGGCTTGAGAAGTGGGTCCAGATTAACCTCCTGAAGATCAACAACACCAAGTGCAAGGTGCTACACTTGGGCTGGGGCAATCCCAAACATGAATACAAGTTCGGAGATGAGTGAAATGAGAATGAGAGTGTATTGCTGGTTGAACAATTGGATGTGAGATGGCAGCAGACACTTGCAGCCCAGAAAGTTAATTGTAACCTGGGTTAAATTTAAAAAAAAAATTAAAAAAAAATGTGGCCAGCAGGTTAAGGGAAGTGATTCTCTTCCTCTTCTCTGCTCTCGTGAGACCCCACCTGGAGTACTGTTTTCAGCTTAGGGGTCCCAAGCACCAGAAAGAGGCGAACCAGTTAGAGCAGGTCCAGAGGAGAGATACTAAAATAATCAGAGGGCTGGAGCACCTCTCCTATGAAGGAAGGATGAGAGAGCTAGGGTTGTTTTGCCTGGAGAAGAGAAGGCTCTGGGGAGACGTTATTGCAGTATTTCAGTACTTAAAGGGGACTTATAAGAAAGACGGAGAGAGAGACTTCTCAAAAGGGCATGTATCAATGGGACAAGGGATTTTAAACTGATTTAGCTTATATGTATGGAAGAAACTCTTCACTGTAAGGGTGGTGAGACACTGGAACAAATTATCCAGATAAACTGTGGATGCTCCCATAGCTGGAAGTGCTAAACATCAGGTTGGATGGGGCCCTGGGCAGACTGATCTAGTGAGAGATGTCCCTGCCCATGACTAGATGATCTTTAAGGTCCTTTCCAATCCAAAGCATTCTATGAACCTACGATTCAATGCTTATTTATTTATAATGAAGGAAATATGTAAATCTGCTTTATATGTAAACTCTAATTCACAGTCACTAATGCCTGTCAAAGATGTTCCTAGTGTACAAACTCAGTGTTCATTTAACCTATGGTTTAGCTTTGAAAAATAGCTAAAACTGAAGTATGGTTCTTAAAATACAATAATTGTTTTATGACTGTTACAAAAGTTGCAAAAAATCAAGTTTTCTACTCCACATAGAGTTGTGAGGTATATTTTGTGGGTTTGTTTTGGGGGTTTGGGTTTTGTTTTGGTTTAGTTTTTTGATTGCTTCTTTTTAAACTGCAACAACTGTCTTTATATAAAAACAATACTTTAGAAGTCTTTTAGTAATTTAATTTAGGTTAATGGAGCTAAGTCCAGCTGGTGAGCTGTTACAAGTGGTGTCAATCAGGGGTCGGTACTGGGGCCCATCTTGTTTAATATCTTTATTGATGATCGAGATGAAAGGATTGAGTGTACCCTCAGTAAGTTTGCTGGGAGGTGGTGTCGATCTGCCTGAGGGTAGGGAGGCCCTTCAGAGGGATCTAGATAAGCTGGATCGCTGGGCTGGGGTGAATGAGATGAGGTTCAACAAGGCCAAGTGCCAGGTCCTGCACTTTGGCCACAATAACCCCATGCAATGCTACAGGCTTGGGAATGAGTGGCTGGATGACTGTGAAGAGGAAAGTAACCTGGGGGTGTTGGTTGATGCTCAGCTGAACATGAGCTGACAGTGTGCCCAGGTGGCCGAGAGGGCCAACAGCATCCTGGCCTGCGTTAGAAATAGTGTGGCCAGCAGGAGCAGGCAGGCAATCATCCCTCTGTACTCAGCACTGGTGAGGCCGCACCTGGAGTACTTGTTCAGTTTTGAGCCCCTCACTACAAAAAAGACATTGAGGCCCTGGAACGTGTCCAGAGAAGGACAACAAAACTGGTGAGGGGTCTGGAGCACAAGTCTTATGAGGAGCGGCTGAGGGAGCTGGGATTGTTTAGTCTGGAGAAGAGGAGGCTCAGAGGAGACCTTATTGCACTCTACAACTTCCTGAAGGGAGGTTGTGATGAGGAGGGATTTGGCCTCTTCTCCCATTCAACAAACAGGACCCGGGGAAATGGCCGCAAGTGGTACCCGAAGAGGTTTAGGTTAGACATAAGGAAAAACTTTTTCTCTCAGACAGTGGTCAGGCGCTGGAATGGCCTGCTCAGGGAGGTGGTGGAGTCGCCATCTCTGGCAGTGTTCAAGAGGCGTCTGGATGAGGAGCTATGAGATATGGTTTAGAGGCTTGTGGTAGCAATGGTAATGGGAGGATGGTTGGACTAGATGATCTTGCAGGTCATTTCCAACCTTGCGATTCTATGATTCTATGATTCTCCATGTGGAAAAAATGGCACCCATTGACATTCATTGATGCTTGTTGAACATTAAAAATACCAATCTAGACTGCTATAATTTTAGCACAAGTCACCTGAAAACATGCAAATAAAGTTTTTTTTTTTCTATGGTTCCTTCTATGCACATCAGTCATTTCAACATGTCTGGTTTTAGTCTATAAAAGTCATTTTATATATACACACTTAAAAGAATGTAACATGGCTCTACAAAACTTAATTCTAACATATGGGAAAATTGGACATAAATGTTTAGATTTAAATAAATTAACTTATATGTTATTCACCTCTTCAGAACCACTGCCTGATGAAGCTGTCATTTGCTGTTGTTGCTTCTTGAGCGCTACTGATCTCTGTAAAGAAAGTATACTTGGACTGGACTGCCAAAATTTAATTCAGAAACAAGAGTCATTTAAACAGATTGAAACTTTAAAGAATACCACATACTTACATTTCTTAACATAAACAGAATCACTATTAAGATCACAGAATCACAAAATAGTTGAGGTGGGAAGGGACCTGTGGAGGTCATCTGGTCCAGCCTCACTGCTCAAGCAGGGGCACCCAGAGCAAGTTGCCCAGGACCATGATACAGAATCACACAATCACAGGGGTTGGAAGGGACCTCGGGAGATCATGAAGTCCAACTTCCCTGCTAAAGCAGGTACCCTACAATAGGTCGCACAGGTAGGCATCCAGAAGGATCTTGAATATCTCCATAAAAGGATACTCCACAACTTCTCTGGGCAACCTGTTCCACTGCTCTGTCACCCTTGCCGTAAAGAAGTTCTTTTGCATGTTAGAATGGAACTTCCTATGTTCAAGTTTTAGACCATTACTCCTTGTCCTATCACTACCACTGAGAAGAGCCTGGCCTCATTCATTTGCCTTCCATCTCCCTTTAGATATTTATAAACATTTATCAGATCCCCTTTCAGTTGTCTTTTCCCCAGGCTGAACAGACCCAAGTTACTCAGCCCCTCCTCATATGGGAGATGCTCCAGGTCCTTAATCATCTTTGTGGCCCTCCAATGAACTCCTTCTAGGAGACTCCGGTCTTTTTTTAACTGGGGAGCCCAGAACTGAACACAGTAGTCTAAATGTGGCTTTACCAGGGCAGAGTAGAGGGGGAGGATAACCTCCCTCGACCTGCTGGCCATGCTCTTTTTAATGTACCCCAGGATACCATCGGCCTTCTTGGCCACAAGGGCACAGTGCTGGCTTATGGCAAACCTGTTGTCCATCAGGACCCCTAGGTCCTTCTCTAAAGAGCTCCTCTCCGGCTGGTCATCCTCTTACCTGTAAGGATGTAAGTGGTTATTCTTCCCCAGGTGCAGGACTCTACACTTGCCCTTGTTAAACCTCATCAGGTTCCTCCCTGCCCAACTCTCAGCCTGTCAAGGTCACGATGAATGGTAGCACAGCCTTCAGGTGTGTCAGCCAATCCTCCCACCTTTGTATCATCAGCAAACTTGTTGAGGATGGACTCTTCTCTCCCTTCATCCAGGTCATTGATAAAGATGTTAAGATTGGACCCAGCACCAACCCCTGGGTAGGGGGCTAGGTACAGCCTCCAACCCAACTCTACACTGCTGATGACCACCCTCTGAGCTCTGTCAGTCCAGCCAGTTCTCAATCCACCTCACTATCCACTCATCTATCCCACACTTTCTAAGCTTACCTACAAGGATGTTGTGGGATGCTCTCCCATCTACCCAGACAGAGATGACATCATAGAAGGCTACCAGGTTGGTCAAGCATGATTTCCCCTTGGTGAATCCACATTGACTACCCCTGATAACCACCTTTTCTTCCAACTGCTTGGAGATGGCATCCAGAACAAGTTGTTCCATCATCTTTCCAGGGATGAAGGTGAGGCTGACTGGCCTGTAGTTTCTTATATCCTTCTTCCTGCTCTTTTTGAAGACTGGAGTGACATTGGCTATCCTCTAGTCTTCAGCCACCTCTTCCGTTTGCCAGGACCTTTCAAAGATGATAGAGTGGTTCAGCAATCACCTCTGCTGGTTCTCTCAGCACACATGGGTCCATCCCATTGAGTCCAACAGATTTGTGTGTGTTGATTTTGGCTAGATGCTCTCTGACTAGATCCACCTCAACCAATGGAAAGTCTTCCTTTACCCAGACTCTCTCTCTTACCTCCAGGGTCTTAGATTCCTAAGTGCTAGTCTTAGCATTAAAGACTGAAGCAAAGAAGGCATGCCGTATCTCTGTTACCAAGGCACCCACTTCATTTAGTAGCAGACCCACATTTTCCCTAGTCTTCTTTTTACCACTGACATACTGAAATAAATCTTTCTTGTTATCCTTTACCTCCTTTGCAAAGTTTAATTCCAAGAGGGCCTTAGCCTTCCTTATTGTGTCTTACAGGCCCTGACAACATTCCTATATTCTTTCCAGGTGGACAGGCCCTTTTTCCACATTTCATGGATCTTCTCTCCTTTCAATTTGCCCTTGAGTTCCTTGCTCATCCACACAGGCCACTTGCCACCTTTCCCCAATTTCTTACTTTTAGGGATGCACCAATCTTGAGCTTGGAAGAAGTGGTGTTTAAGCGCCAACCAGCTCTCATGGGCCCCCTTACCTTCTAACACTCTAGCCCATGGGATACCTCCAAATAGGTCTTTGAAGAAGTCAAAGTTGGCTCTCCTGAAGTCCAGGGTAGCAATTCTCCTTATTGCTTTGCTTCTTCCACACAAGATCTTGAACTCCACCATCTTGTGATCCCAAGCTTCCACCAACAATCACATCTCTGACCAGCTCTTCCTTGTTAGTAAAAACAAGGTCGAGCAGCACATCTCTCCTTGCTGGCTCTCCACCACCTCTGTGAGAAAGTTATCATTAACACATTGCAGAAACTGCCTTGACCTTGTGTGCCTGGCTATGTTGCTTATCCAACAAAATATCAGGATGGTTACAAGTCCCCCATGAAAACCAGTGCTGGGGATCGCAAGGCTTCTTCCAGCTGTTTGTAGAAGGCCTCATCCACTTCCTCCTCCTGATCAGGCGGCCTGTAGTACACATCCACAACAGGGTCACCTATGTTAGTCTGCCCCTTAATTCTTATCCACAAGCTCTCCACTTTTTCATCATTCCCCTCAAAGTGGAGCTCAATGCATTCTAGTTGCTCTCACATAAATAGCAACTCCACTGCCTCACCAGTATGTCTTTCCTAAGGAGGACACAGCCATCCATGACAGCATTCCAGTCATGTGAGCTGTCCCATATCTCTGTGATTGCAATGAGATCATGGCCTTGTGACTGCACGCAGATCTCTAGTTCTTCCTTTTATTTCCCATGCTGTGTGCATTGGTATGTGTGGGAATAAAAGAAAAACTGTTCAGAGCAGAAGATGTGGAGCAAGATAAACAGCATGAGAACCAAGGACACCTCTACAAGAAGAGAGAACGTCTCACAACTCTGATTGGATAAGCGCCTGTGTGAACGGTTGAAGAGTGTTTTGTAGAATGCTCTGTTGACATGTAAAGGTGGATGGGAAAGTTGTAGGGGTGGATGGGAAAGCTAGAAAAAGAAAACTTGTGAAGGTATATAAGTGATGTGAGAACTTGTAATAAACGATTTGGATCATTCACATCTGAGTCCATGCATCAGACGCTGCAGGTATGCAGGCACTTCAGGGAAGCAGAGGGTGCAGGTAAAATCCAGGTGGCTTCTGAAGATCTCCATGGAAGGAGACTACAACCTTTGTGGGGAAACCTGTTCCAGCACTCAATCACTCATGGTTTTACGATTTTTTGTTATTGGTATTCCACATCATAATATCATGTAGTGCACTGGGAGTTAAAGAGTTAATGCTTCAGTTCCGTGGACTGTCGATAGTTCTGGGTATACCTGTCTCAGAAGAGAAGAAAAACATTTCCCAGAAGACTTTCACTGTTCAGTTTCCATTTCCTGTTAAGAGGGAAAGATAAAACTGCTCACAGGTCATGAGACTGTCCCTTTTTTTTACTGCTCGTCACTGTGGTTGTGTGCTCCCTAGCCATCTCACCTTCAGCATTAGAGTAAGGCCTTTGGTTTTGGACACTCTCGCTCTCATTTTATTTGATTTATAAGCCTCGATTCCAATTATATTGTATTGTGTTATCTTGCATCCCGATATCATATTTTGTAAATTAACTTTCCTCCTCAGATCATTGCCACTTTTTTGCTTTTAGGCCCATCTCCCTACCTTTTCCCCTTTTTCCCCTTCCCCCTCTACTGGGGCATGGGTCCATGGGTCCCCCTGCCCCATTAGTCATGGAATCGGGCCGAACCAGTCTGTAAACCGTTAACAATCACCAACACAAAAGAAAAAAAAGTTTTTCTTAATGTTCAGACAGAACTTCAGACCTAGATCATCTTTATTAATGACCTAGATAATAGAATTGAGTGCATCCTCAGCAAGTTTGCTGATGACACTGAACTGAATGGTACAGTTGACACAAGAGAAAGACAGGATGCCATCTAAAGGGGCCTGGACAGGCTCTAAGAGGGCCCGTGAGAATCTAATGAGATTCAACAAGGTCAAGTGCAAGGTGTTGCACTTGGGTTGGGGCAATCCCAAGTTATGTGTACAGGCTGAGAGAAGAACACCTTGAGAGCAGCCCTGTGGAGAAAGACTTGGGGGTCATAATGGATGAAAAGCTGGACATGAGCCAGCAGTGTGTGCTTGCTGCCCAGAAGGCCAACTGTATACAAGGCTGCATCAACAGAGGGGGGGAGCAGCAGGGTGACGGAGTGGATTGGCCCCCTCTACTCTATCCTTGTAAGGCCCCATCTGAACTACTGCATCCAAGCCTGGGGTCCCCAACACAAGAAAAACATTGAGTTGTTGGAGTGAGTCCAGAGGTGGGCCACAACAATGCTCAGAGGGCTGGAGCACCTCTCTTATGAAGAAAGGTTGAGAGAGCTGGACTTGTTTAGCTTGGAGAAGAGAAGGCTCAGGGGAGACCTCATTGCAGCCTTCCAGTACTAAAAAGGAGCTTGGAAGCAGGAGAGAGACCAACTTTTTACACAGGCAGATACTGATAAGGGGGAATGACTTTAAACTAGAAGAGAGGAGATATAGATTAGATATTAGGAGGAAATTATTCACTCAGAGTGGTAAGGTACTGGCACAGGTTGCCCAGAGAGGTTGTGGATGCCACACCTCTGGAGGTGTTTACGGCCAGGCTGGACGGGGCCCTGGTCAGTCTAATTGTTAGCATTTCTGCCCATGGCGGGGGGGGGGGGGCAGAACTAGATGATCTTAAAGATCCCTTCCAACCCATGTAATTCTATGATTCTTGTGTTCCAGAGTCTCCCTTGTTTTCGCATGTGCCCATTGCCTCTTGTCCTTTCACTGGGCACCTCTGAGAAGAGTGTGGTTCCATCCTTTTTGCACTCCTCTCCCCTCAGGTATTTATAGATATTGATGAGATCCCCCTGACCTGTCTCTTTCCCACTCTAATCAGTCTCAGCTCTTTCAGCCTTTCCTCATACAAGATACCCTAGTCCCTCAAAGAAGTCCTTTAAAGATGGACTTCAATTTTATTAAGAGTAAAGAAGAGAATCCTTAATAGTCTTTGAATCTTACCGTACTGAATATTTTATTACCTTTCATATATATGGTCTATCATCCAAATTAAGGTCAAATATCACAGAGAAACAGGAAAGTTCAGGCAATTTTCATCCATTGTATTTAAGAAATTTTTAAATAACACTTCCTTTCTAGTTTTAGCAAAATTTTCCCCATACAAAAAATAAACAGTAAATAAGCAAGTGATAGGACAAGGGGGAATGGTCTTAAACTGAGACGGGGAGGTTTAGGTTAGATATTAGGAGGAAGTTTTTCACACAGAGGGTGGTGACACACTGGAACAGATTGCCCAAGGAGGTTGTGGATGTCCCATCCCTGGAGGCATTCAAGGCCAGGCTGGATGTGGCTCTGGGCAGCCTGGTCTAGTGGTTGGCGACCCTGCACATAGCAGGGGGGCTGAAACTAGATGATCATTGTGGTCCTTTTCAACCCAGGCCATTCTATGATTCTTATGATAAGCCTGAAATTATTGTACAGTCAGTTTTTTATATGAAGAAACTAAGCATTAGAGAAACAAATAAAATTTTAGAAGTAACAATATTGTGCTACTTTGTCTTAAAAAACATGCAATAATAGATATCTCTGCATGGGAAAAAAAGCTAATTAAATACATACAAACAGAAAAATTTAAGAGCCCAATGTATGAGAACTAAGTGTGCACATTCACTAACCCAATCTTGTTAGAATTCTAATTAAATTTTTGTTGTTTGTGTAAATGAAGGCTGCTCTTGAAACTACTCTGAACAGTGTTTTTTCCCCACAGAGCATTAATTTGTCATTTTACCTCAGATCCATCAACTTTTGGTGGTTTAGCTTGAACTTGTTTCTTCTCTCTAGACGCATCAGACTCCAGTTCTGATTGACTGCCTGACTCTGAAGCAGACTCAGAGTCACTGCTACCTGACTGACTGCTACTTCCATCACTACTGCTTCCAGAGCTTGAACCAGATCCAGAAGCAGATGTTGACCCAGAATCATCATCTGATTGGCTGCAAATAAGATAGCAGGATATTATGCAATGGCTAAGGAAACATGATTAAAAAATGACTTTAGCTTCACCTATAAATCAACTGTTAAATAAGTACAGGAACATGGATATCATACAAATGATTGCACTGGATTAAGTAAGTCAGGAATGAAAACTCAAAGTTTAATCAGATTCTTTTAACAAAAAAAAAGAGGAACAATAATTTAGAGGAGTAAAGCAAGGGTACTTCTCACCCACTCAAACCCTTAGCTTTATCAAACTTCACGTTTACATGTTTTTGTATGTATGTATACACGACTTCTTTTTTAAGCACACATTCCTTTAAAGAAAATATAACTTCAGTTTGTTTCCCTTTTTTTCATGAGAACTGCAGGAAAAAAAAAAAGCTTTAAGGAAGGATTTGCCAACAACATTTTATGTTGTGATTTGGACCAACTATATACAAAATGGGGGCCACAAAACAAGAAAGACATAGAACTGTTGGAGCAGGTCCAGAAGAGGCCATGAAGATGCTCAGAGGACTGGAGCATCTCATTTATGAATAAAGGCTGAGGGAGACGGGAGTGTTCAGCCTGGAAAAGAGAAGGCTCCAGGGAAACCTCATTGTGGCCTTCCAATACTTAAAAGGAGCATAAAAGGAGGTTCAGGTTGTATATCAGGAAAAGGTTCTTCACCAAGAGGGTGGCTGGGCACTGAACTGGCTCCCCAGGGAAGTGGTCACAGCCCAGAGCTTGCTGGAGTTCAAGAAGTATCTGGATAATGCTCTCAGACATATGGTCTGAGTTTTGGGTGGTCCCAGGTAGAGACAGGAGTTGGACTCAATGACCTTATGAGTCCTTACCAACTCAGGATATTCTATGATACTACAATAACCAAGAGGAAGACAAACTTTTCACACAGGTAGACAAGGGAGGAATGGTTTTCAACTAAAAAGGGGAGAGATTTAGATTAGATGTTTAGGGGAAATCTTTCACTGTGAGGATGGTGAGGCACTGAAACAGGCTGTCCAGAAAAGTAGTGGATGCCCCATATCTCTGGAGGTGTTCAAGGCTAGGTTGGATGGGTTCCTGGGCAGCCTGATCTAGTGGGTGGCAAACCTGTTCACAGCAGGGAGGTTGGAACTAGATGATCTTTCAAGTCCCTTCCAACCCAAGATATTCTATGATTCTTTGATCTGGCATTCAAGCTTGAAAGAAATTTAACTTGAAATTTCTAAAAGGTCATCAACAAAGGAATCCAAACTTCATTCTGTTTTCAGAAGCACTATAGTTGCTTAACAGCGTAAACCATTAAATGAAGAACAGCCCCACCCAGTATTCTAATAATTAAATCAAAGACTAATGTATATATAAATCTCTTTTGTATTTTGTTAGTAGAATACATTATGTATTTTTATGAGGACTGCTCCAAAAGTAATGCCTCCTATTTCATTATGTTGGCCCATGATGTCATAGGCAAATGCTTGTGGTATGGAAGTAGAGGTTGAACCTTCCCACCAATATCCGTTTACACTTTGTTGCCATGCAACACGTGGCAGCAGAGGGGTGGTCTGACAAAATGGTGTCTGACATGGAAATGCATATGAAGCAAAGGTGTGTCACTGAATTCCTCCATGTGGAAAAAATGGCACCCATTCACATTCATCAACATTTGCTGAACATTTATGGAGACCAAACAAACAGTGGATGTGAGCACAGTGAGGAGTGGGTATTGCGTTTCAGCAGTGGCAACAGTGATGTGAAAGACAAGCAACATTCTAGAAAGCCATGCACAGCTCTCACACCATGAAATGAAGAGTGTCTCAATTAACTCATCCACGCAAATCAGCTAAAGGTAGAGAGCATTGAAAAACAGTGTTTTGTAGCTGAGAATTGGTTCTACCAAATAGTGTTATTGTACTCTTTGTATCTGTTGTCATTTGTGTGGTAATAAATAGGAAGCATTACTTTTGGAGTGACCTATGTATATTTAGTTTTCTCTCATCCTTTTCTGTCTTCCTTAAATAGCTTTTACCTCAACTCATGAGAGTTATTTTATTTCCAATTTTCCCCCTCATCCCACTTGCAGGGGGGAAGTGAGCAAACGGCTCTGTAGTGCTTACCTGCCTGCTGGGTTAAACCACAACACATGCAATACTTAAAACACCAATAGCTGTTTATCAAAGGACTTTCCTCTGAGAAATTTAATAGATTTAAACTAACTTTAACAGTGATGAGGAACCCAAGGCAAAACAGACACAATCTCTCACAAAAAGTAATCTCTTACTCCAACAACTTGTATCTGCATGTATGGGAACTGTTGAGTCACGGCCTGAACCACTGATTGAGCACCCAGGGAAAGGACTCAGTCAGGCCTGGGAGCACAGGTGAAGGCAATTCACCTGTGTGACCTGAAGGGGTGGAGCCTGGCTCCGCCTCTCTTAGACCTCATTGAAGGGCTGGCTGCCCTTGTAAAGGATTCTTTCCTGGAGATCCTTTGTCGTTGAAGTTTTCCCCTGTAAACTTAGAACCTTCTGATATGAGTGAGCAATCCTCTTCCCTTCCTTTATAGTATCTCTCCACTGTGCCAGTCCTTCTGTCATCACGCCTTTGTTGTAACACCTTTCCCATTGTATTGATTTGTTCAATTGCTACATTTGGTGAGCCAGGCAGGTACTTATTTATGATGTATTACCTTAAAAGAATTATGTGTTGGATGGTCACTGGGATCCTGAATACACCAAAAGAGGAACTCCCAGGGGAAACCCTGCGATTCTTAGGTTCCCCGTGGCTAAGTGCTGCTTGGATTATTGAAGAATGAGAACCTATAAGGGACAATAGTCCCATTATTATATCCCCATCAAAAAATGGCTGATTTCCTGAATAAATTAGGACAGAACTTTTTGACAACCGAGGAAAGAATAGTAACAGCATCTGTTGTGGCATGGCTGCTGCTTCTCAAATTAATGCATATCATTCCTCAGAAGAGGAATTAAAAGATAAAAATAAGCTTTTGAAAGCTTGTACTAGAAAAATGGAAAACAAATCTTTGATAGGGCAAACTGCCTCACCTTTAAATAGTACTTCCCCTTTGAAATTAAGATCTGTATCACTAGAAGGGGAAAAGGACTTGGATCAGCAGGATCCTTGGATTTTAGTTGAACCCAAGAACAAAAAAGCCAAGCAAACTAATAGCCAACTAGAGGATCTGGGAACCTCAGATCGTCTAGAAATAAGGCCAGTAATAACTCAGAAGACAAAGAAAATCCAAGACCAACCAGCTGGGTTGGCACCTGAAGAGTGACCCTCTGCATATACCATGTTACATGTAACGGCGCACCTGTACACAGCTGCCAAGCTCATGGATCTGTTAAAATGATTCAAGCAAAGACCACAAGAGAACATACCAGTCTAGCTGTTGAGATTATGGGACATAGGGGTCAAAAGTGTGGTAATTAATGGGCCTGAGATTTCTAAACTGGCATCCATTACCATACATCTGGCTCTCAAAGGTTATATGCCACTGTGATACATAATGACAAAAACCATTCTCTAATTCAGTGGGTAATGGCGGTGTGTAGAATCACGTGGCTGAACAAAAGTGATGTTCCGATAAATACTAGTCTATGGACCTCAGTGGACGAGCTTCAAAATTATATTAGAGAATTAGGAATGAAGGAGGCAATATATGACGACGGCTTTGAGTGTCCAGACTTGGTTAAGTTTTCGGCGAGGATGAGGGACCTCATATTACAACAAGCTCTTCTCCACCTGTATGGCACACTGTTGTCCATACTGAACCCCTTAGTGGCCTTAGAGGCCATCGTCCAACAGGCTGCCCAGTTGGTGGCTAATCTAAGAGACAGAGCGCCTTCGGACCAGGTACAATATCTGAACATTGGAAGGGACTGAGGTCCTCCCGGTAACTAAAATCAATGGTGTTTTCTTTTTGGTGGAGTTTTCTCCTGCAGACCTTGAGTTTTCTGATATGGGTGGGCAATCTTCTTCCCTTCCTTTATAATAGCACCTTTTTGTTGTGCTGGTCCTTCTGTCATCACACCTTTGTTGTAATGCCTTTCCCATTGTAGTGATCTGTCCAATTGCTGCTCTGCGGCATGCCTGAAATGGTTTATGTCATCTTGAGGTTCAAAAAAAGAGGAAATACAGCCTAGAAAGGTTCATAAATTTTCTAGAAATAATCATTACAAGCTATCACCGTTAACCAGGCTACAAATGAGAGCATTTCAGGCTATATCAAAATTTGACTGTTAAAATAGTTATTCCATTACAGAGAAAAGAGAGAAGGGAAGAAAAAAGCAACCAGAAAATAACAAAAAGTTTGTTAAACCACTTTCATGATAGCAAGACTGTTTCATTTTGTTAAAAGAAGCAGAACCTAAACGCTATAATAAAGGCATTACAAATGTAAATGCAAGGAAGTAATATCTGTGAGTTAGTCATATTTTAACATCCTTGTCTTTTTTTATTTTCTTCCTTTGCCTGTAGGCTTTTCTTTTATTTTCTTTTTTGTGGAGTAAAAGCAATCTCTTTCCTTTCTGAAGTGCTTTAAATATTATCCGATACTATCCAGCTAGGGTACATATATATATATATTTTTTAACTCTTCTCAGAACGAGTAATGTTTCTTAAGACTAAATAGTACCACTGACCTCTACAAGATTAATCACCTGAACTGGCGCTACAAATCACTGAGATTCTGGTACTATATTCCTAGTGTTAAGATGCAAGGAACTTTAAAAGTAAAATATTTCTTCAATTGAAGACTCAGAATACTATTATAATTACCCACTGACGCTTTCCAGAGTTCATTTTACATAAGAGCATAGGTCAACTGCTTTATTTCTTGCTCTCTTCTCTTCTTATGAAGTCCAGGGTCAATGCCTTTTCTTTAGATGCTCTTATTTGAAACAATTCAACAGAAAGTGGAAGAGGACACAATCATTCTGATGTGGCCTTAGAGAGCATTTGGGTATAACACAATTGTATGGGAACTATTGAAGCA